CAAATACTGTCTCAATCTCTAATAATGATGACTTGGTGAAATTAAATAGAAAAGGAGAAGAGGTGATGGAAGAAGAAGATGGGATGGAATCAAATTACGAAATATTGACTAATCAAGAGGGAAAATCATTATCAACCGGTATTTATTTCTATTTCAACTGGAAGGTCTTAATGTTGTGATTTAGCTAGGTTTATATTTCGTACTATCAATTAGATGTCATATGTAATTTGTTGAAATTACAAAATACAACATAAAACTAAACGATAAATAAAATAAATACAAAACATGACTAATCTACAACAAAGTTACTGAACCTTCTAGCGAAGTTCCAAATGAAGAAGAAAAAGAAATGGGTATTTTTTTAAACATGCTTTTATAATAATAATAATTAATAATTTATTCTAATGATTATTTTTGTCTTTCCCTTAGATCCGAAACCATTTGGAGTACCCTCCATACGTGAATTACTTCGTGTTCTCATATCCTTACTCAATCCTCATGATCATCAACACACTGACACTATGCGACTCATGGCCCTTAGTATTCTGAACGTAGCCTTTGAAGTTGGTGGTCAAACAATAGGCCGGTTTTCCAACTCGGAACCATGTTGCAATAAAATGTTATTATTGATAATAATGATTGACGGTAACGATGAATGAAAGAAGAATATTTTATTTATTGGATTAAGTTGGCACGTACAGATAACATTACATTGTTATCATTGACGCTTCGTGTTATCTCAACAGTTTTTGGTACACTTCGTCCATATCTTAAACTACAACAAGAACTTTATTTATTATTTTTGATTGAAAGATTGACACCACCATCAAACAGTCCAATATCTCATGCATTCAACGAAGTATTTTCTAATCCTAATTTCGATAATGTTCTGCAACTTGATCCCAGCGCTCCAACATCACCAAATCGTGATCAACGTAATTTCAGAATGAGTAATATTTCATACGCTACTGGCGAAATTCGTGAATTATTGTTAGAAACACTGGGTCAATTCGCTAGAGAGCCATCTTTCATGGTTGATTTGTGGGTTAATTATGATTGTAATGTTGATTGTGATGATTTATTTGAGGAAGTCATTAAAT